TAAATCGGGTCAGTTTAACTTTTTTCCTCAAAATTTATTTAATTAGAATTCGAATATTTTCTTAGGTTTTATCAATTTTTAACCCGTTTCTATACTTTGTTTTTCTTTGATGTGGGCCGGCCAAATGTAAAATTATCGGGCCGATTTCAAGCCTCATTCCGCCCCTGTTATATATAATAATAGAGTCTGATCTTATCGTCAGAACTTATAAAAACGCAAATATATAAATACGTATATAAATATATATATATACAGTAAGACTTCTCTTTATAATAGAAAAGAGAAAATATAACAATCTTACAATTAAAAAGACAAATACAAATACAAATACAAATACAAAAAAAGAGACAAATTAAACAAAGCACTAGGAGTTGATAACGTTAGTAGTAATGTTGTAACTAAATGTATTTTCTATATTAAAAAATTTCTTCTGCATATATTTAAACTTTCGTTTATACAAGGAATCTTTTCAAAAAAACTTAAAATTGCAAGAGTAATACCAGTTTTTAAATCTGGAGGTGATACTAATATCTCAAACTATAGATATTTAGCAAACAAAAACATGATTGCATGTTTTTGTTTACTAAACAGCTTTTTTATCTTTGTTTTATTGGTGCAGCACCAATAAAACAAAGATAAAAAAGCTAATTAGCAAACAAAAACATGCAATGACACCGCCTCTCACATTCTAGACCATTGTTCAACAATCTAGAAATATTATAAATGTACCAATTAAATATATATCATCTGCTAATTTTTATGTATAAAACTAATAATAATACAATACCAAATATCTTCAAACCATTATTTAATAAAATTCAACACAAATACATGACTAAATATTCAAATAACAACTTTGTTCAGCCCAAAACTATATATGAGTCCACCAATAGCTATTAGAGGACGTAATTTATGGAATAAGTTAATTAGTAATGATATTAAAACATTTACAACTCTTGAACAGTTTAAACAAAAGCTAAAACTATTGCTTTTAAATAACAATCAAACGGAGAATTATTTTTAAATCTATTTTTAAAAATATTATATTTGAAAATTATCTATTAGTGCATACTTTATTTGTCTTTAATTATATATACATTACTATCAATTATATTATGAATACACATACATGTGTATGTGTATATATATCTTTTGATTGTAAATTAACATTATTTTTTTCATTTTTTCATGTTTTCTTTTTTTTTTGTTGTTGTTGTTGATGTTGTTGTTGCTGTTGATTTTTGTTTTCTTGAATGAATTATTAAATTTTCTTTCAATGAATAACTTTGAAATTTGAATATAAATAGCATTGCATTACCCTAGTTAACCTTCATGTTATTGAGAACTTTTTAATTAATTAAAAATATTTTTTAAACATTAAAAATAACTTTGAAAGACTCTATTAAACTGTTTTGCATTTTGTATAAACTTCTTTGAAACATTTTTTAATTTTTAATATTAGTTACAACGTATTTATATAAATATCTTTAAAAAACAAGGGACTTGGTGATAAGGCAAACCTGTCTTCTTCTCATCCTTGCCATATTTTATATATTTATATATATATATTATAAAACACGGAACTTGTAAATATTTGTACGGCTAAAAAAAAAAATAAGGAAAAAAAAAATACGTGGTTGTTATAAAAAGTATTTAAATATATCATCAATAGATAAAATAAAATTTTTAAGTTTACTTTTAAAAATGGGAAATGTATTGGATATATCAAAGTTAGGTATAACAATTTTATAAAAGTTTTAGTAACAAAATCTCTTTATATATATATATAATAATAATAATAATAATATTTATTTGCATTTAAAAAAATACATTAAAATACAAAAGGGTGAGACAGGAAATCACAAGATTACGCTTATGTAACACCTGAACAAAGGCAATTTAATACAATACACAACTTTGTTGTAAGTCGTAAATTTGTAGTTTTTTTTTGAATATGAAATATGAATATGAGCAGTGTGAGCAGGCAATGAATTCCATATTTTTACAATTCTTTCACTGAAAAAAAATCTACGTGTATCGTTAGTACATTTATTGCGTGAAACTAATTTTTTCGCATGACTTCTAGTAGGGTAATGAGAATTGGAAAATGTAAAGAAATAGGAAAAAGGAAGGTCGACAAGATTGTTTATAATTTTGTAGGTCATAAAAAGATCGAGTTTGACTCTGCTGTGTTCAAGAGAAGTTTTAAAACAGGTAGTCTCGATACATAATCAGTGTAAGAAATATGGCATCTTTTACAGGTAATTATGCTGAAGTATCTTTGGACGTTATTGATGCAACGTATATCTTTAAGAATGTAAGGACTCCACACTGGGGTGCAAGATTCTAAGATTGGACGCACATAGACCTTGTAGGCTTTTAAGAGGAGATTTGAATCATTACTGATAAAGGTTTTGAAAAGTAAATATAGACGGGCGTAAGCTTTTTTGGCAATACGAGAACAGTGTTTGGAAAATTTTGTGTCAGAAGATACCGTAATACCAATATCTTCAATACAGTTAATAGTCGTTATCGGGGTGTCCAGGCAAAACGAATACGAATGAACAGTCAAAGACTTACTTCCAAAACATAAATGGAAACATTTTTTGAATGCTATTTTTTGTTGCCAGTAAGCTGTCCAATCAGAGAACTTTTTTAATGATATTTTAAGTTCAGCATTGTTATTTTCGTCTCTCGTTTGGTACAATTTGCTCTCGTCAGCAAACAGTTTTATTCGACAATCACTTTCAATAGAAGAAACTACATCATTAATAAATAATAAGAATAAAGTCGGAGCCAACACAATTCCTTGGGGTATTTCACTCTTTACAGGTACGTAGTTTGAGTAAGAATTACCAATGCAAACACATTACCTTTTTGTAAATCTGGCAAAAATACTACCAATTCTGATCTAGGCATTTATCAATTCAATTCTAATCTAGAAATTTATTAATAGTCATTTGAAAAGCACAACAACAAAAAATAATAACAATAAACTAACTCTAAATATTGTTATATTGTTTACGATTCTTTTCAACTTCTATCTTATATTTGCAGTGCTTCAATTGCTTATGAAGTTTTGAAACAATATTAATTGATAACTAGCAGTAAGCAACCCATAATACGGGTTGTTAGTAAATAAAATTAAAAAAAAAACGTGTATAGAAAAGCCTAGAAAATTTAAAATAGAAAAGCTTAGAAAATGACGCAAGTCGACTATTAACTACTACTATTAAATTAGCGTATTTATATTATCAGATTTATGTTAAAAGTGAAATTTGATTTGATTGGTTAACATTAAATTTTGATAGCTACGCGGTGTTTAATAGAAAATTAAGTTACTATTAAAACTGTTTCTTGAGAAATGACATACTTTAACTTCGTTCTTCCTCCAGCCTATTAGATCTACTTGGTTGAACAAGTACTTGCTAAGATGATGTCGTAGTGTGTATACAGTGTGTGTGTGCGGGAGAGGGGGTGAAAGAATATACACTTCAGGGTATCCCAAATGTTTCTATTAGATATACTTTATTTTATTTTCTCAACAATTTTTTTCACATTTGATTTCCAGATAATAAAAGATAAACTAAAAATAATATTTGATAATTATACTTTAAAGCGTATTGATCAAAGAGATAATTACTTTAAAATAAATAAGATACAGTTAACTCAAAAACTGATGTTACATGACTATCCAAAATGTCAAGAATACTCTCGAGCGTTACGAACTCTGCATAATGAAGTTTATAGGATTTAAAAGACTTTTTGATTAGAGCTCCATACTACTAAAGTAACTTTATACTGCTCAAGCAAAAACGGATGCCATGATTTTAATTAGCATGTCCAGAGAACTTATAAGCTCCGGACATTTTTCTGTGAACTGTAAAGTTGTCTGAATTATACATAAAATAACCAGCAACTTTAGATCAGGTAAATCCGAATGCAATTAAAAAAAAACAAATTTTTAATGTTTAAATGGGGCACGTTAGTTACAGGGCCGTCCCGAAGCCCTTCTTCAAATTTTGTTCGTCGGGAAATCGAACACTAGAGTCAACAAAATTAAAATTATCGTTGGCAGTCGGTAAATGTCGGAAAACGAGGACTTTTTTTTTTTTCAAGATAAGTTATTGGGCAAAAATTTTTTTTTTGCTCAAGTCGGCAAAAAACAGACACGGCACCACCTCCTTTAAAACCTCTTCGGGACGGCCCTGGTTAGTTAGATACATTTTTGAAAGCCAAATGTAAAAATAATCATAAAAATTAAATTTTCATTTATTGTTAGTACTAAGTTTATAAATAAATCCAATAAAAATATATTACCTAAATAAAACAATAAATGATTTTTGAGACACCCTGAGTTTATAATGTTATATTTTGGAATAAATAAACAACACTTTTTTAACAAGAGTTAATTAAGGTATTTTTACTTCATACGCAAGACATGAATTTTTCGTCCAGACATATCTAGCATTTTGATTAACCTAGAATAAAGAGGATGGAAATAAAGTTTGCAGCACTTTATCAGTCAATGTTTCAAAAAGCATATAATATAAAGGAAGTATCGAACCTGGCAAACTGAAGTGGATGGTTTTATAACATTTTCCACCTAGGTACGCTGTCTTGATCACGGCATCATGTAAGGACATTAATATAAATGAACGACATTTAACAGATCGGAAAGGAACCAACTACTAAAATCTCTAATTGAGATTATGATATGAAAAAAAAAATAATAATAAAACTGAAAGGCATACAAAATCAACATTTTAAAACACATAAGCAGCGGATATTTCAGTTAGTTCTTTTTTGATAAAAATGAAAAAACTGGTTAAGAAATCAATGGCGATAAAATTTCATAAAATGCCAAATTGTCGGTTTGTTCCTTTCTGTTAAATATCGAACAAAAAAAAGGAGCAATAAATAAAAGTAAATAATATGCTAACAAAAAAAAAAAATAATAATAATAATAATTTTAATAATAATTTAATTAAATCAACTGGTTAAATTATTTTCATAAAATTTATTTCATATTAACAAAACTAATGTTGTTGAGTCCCATCAACCTTGAATACATATTTCAAAGATAGATGTCCGCTGACCATAAAAACGTAAATGACTAATAAGTAATATAACAAATTCTCTTTTGTGTTTTTATAGGGGGAGTTAGCATTGTCCCAGTAGATCCAAGTGAAGCCTGGTAAAAATTCTTTTAACGGCACTTGTAAGGACGCTTCAATATCGCGAAGGGCGCTTTCTATATTTTCAACCTAGATTACGTAAAAATAAAAATAATATATGTTAAAAAACAGTACAAAATGAAAATCAGTGTTAATACAAATTTATATGAACTTCAAAAGAGGTAGCGTAGCAAAATTTGAATAGATATTTACAAAGCTAGATTTAAATTACTAAACCTTTAAAAGGCCATTAAAAATGTTAAAACACTAGAGCAGAGTGGGCCAGGTGGTGGACAAAAATAAAAAAAATACATTATCAAAAATTACATTATTATATACCATTTTATAGCTTAAACATTCAACTTTTCCAAAATGTATATATTTTTGTAAAATTAACATGCCTATGCTTCTAAGCTACAGAATATAAAGTTTTTTTTTTTTATTTAAATTTAAATTTTTTTTTTTAATTTGATAGTATTTTTTATGTTATTAATAAGCATGGAATAGATGGTAACTTTAAAACCTACGTTTTTTATTGCACAATTTAATAAAATTAAGTATTATCTTTCAAATGAGCTCTTACAACACTATTTTGCATGTAAATTATGTCAAACAAAATGATTTCAAATGACGGGGTATTTGAAGTACTATTTTTAGTTAAAATTTCACTTAAATAGTCGAATACTTTTGCGGTCCAAAGCGGTCCAGTAATTTGAAACTTGAAATACATTGTTCAATTTGTATATTATCAATATAAATTTGTTTTATAATCCGCGGATGTCCGCCTGGCCTCTATTAATGACTTTGGCAAGTTAACCGGTGAAAAAAAGATAGCTAGTTGACGCAAGACGTTTTTAAAACGTTTAAAACACGTGCTACTACGTATTTCATACGTCTTTAACGCGCCTTTTACCCATAGTAGCGACTAACTAGTTGCTAGCTCTTGTCCCACCAGGTAAATGATGTATCCAATTTTATGTGGCGAAAACATATGTATTTTATTCTAAATGGTTATGTAATAATTGGGTCTCAGCAGGACTAGATTAGTGTTACAAACTTGTTTTATTAACTATACATTCTAAAATACCTACTTGTAAAATTTTGTAAATAAAATTTATATTTTAATATAGTTAAAACATGAAAAGTATTGATATTTATTCATATATAATACAAGAAAACCTGAAGTTAGCTAATCCTAATACTTTATATACACAAAAAGGTTAAAATTCAGGGTTTCTTTTTAAATGGATTATGTAGTAGTTTCATGAAATATAAAATAGAGCCTTGAAGCTGCATAAAAACACTTAAAATTAGTAATTGGGAATGTGTTGAATTTTTAAATGCATAAAATAATTTTTAATCAGACTGTCACATTAATATCATTCTAGTTATAACATTGATGCTTGGAGAAAAGTTACTTAAGCTAGTAACTATGCAAAATGATGTGTTAGGCATTTTATATGTCACTATCAACCAAATAAAAAATACCACTACATTTGTAGTATTTGTACCAAATAAAAAGTACCACTACATTTGTAGTATCAAAATACTCAATGTGGTAATTATGGGAGAAATCCAATAAAGTTATTACTTTTTCTACTTTATATTTGTCTAAGTAATAAAATGTGGTTGCTATGCAATTTAGGTATCCATAGCAACCAAAAGTTAAAAATAATATCACCATTAAAACCGCAATCCTCAAATTAGTAAACAGCGCAAAAATGGTTCTTATAACTTTTTTATATGACGAGTTATTAGTTTTGTCCATAAAAAGTGATTTCTGGCCCACTGTGCAGAAGTAAATTAAGGACTAAGATTGATACAACTTTTTTTTGAAATTTCAGAACATAGTTGAGCTTTTATTTGCACCTATTTTTATTGTAAGTTAAAGCTTGTCAATAAATCATTAAAATATGTAAGTTTAAATAGAATAAGATTTTTGGTTGCCCACCGATTTCCAGAGACAAACAGTGTCTTAGTGTGTGTGGTGCTAACTAACAAAAAGGAGAAAGCAAAAAAAAGCTTATCTATACTATGACAAGGAAATGTAAAACTTCCCATGTTCAATCACTCATGATAGTTCAATGTGAAAAAAACTTTAAATTTTGATAGCAAATAAAAAAGTAATCATAATAAAGAACTTTATAGAATAGTTATTAGATTTAAAACCTACTAGTTCCTAATACTAGTTTATAGATTACTTTTACGTTGATAATAGCTAATAGATTTAAAACCTACTAGTTCCTAGTACTAGGTTCTAGATTACTTTTATGCTGATAATAGTCAATAGATTAAAAACCTAACAGTTCCTAGTTCTAGGTTCTAGATTAATAAATTCTAATTAACAAATTAAAAACCTAATAGTTCCTAGTTCTAGATTACTTTTACGTTGATAATAATTAAAAATTTTAACCTAATTTTTGAATAATAAAATTACATGTTATAACTCATTAATTATTACCATTACCATTTTTATATTTTTTAAATGATTAATTTTAATCTGTGTTCAAAAAATTTTTTTTTCATAAGTTTCATAAAGTTAAATTCAATCAAAATTTTTATTTTCATTCTTAAAATTGTATATTTTGAATGTTAAATGTTTATAGTTGAATGTTAAATGTTTAGTTACAAATTAAAGACTTTAAAAATTTAAAATCTATAAAACAAAGAAAGGTTTTTTACTTAAAAAGTTGGCTAAAAATATATCAGCATGAGTAGCCAATAAAAAGTCAGTTAAAACTAGCAACTATCTTCAATTCTAATACATTTATATACCATTAATAATTTTACAATTTGATTAGTGTAAGTTCTAATGTTATTAACCAAATCATTTTATTCAGAATTTTAAGTCTTTCTTAAAATTCTGAATAAACTGATTAAGTTGATATTTAGCTATATTTTTGATAATTTGTTGCTTAGCTATATTTTTTTCATATATTTATACAGTATTTAAAATTTTAAAAGAACAATATTAATATTAATAATATTACTTATTGAATATAATTCATTATAAAATCAAATAATCATACTTTGTAAAGTTGACTTTAATAGCAAATAGTTAATTACACGATAAAAAAAAAATCCAAGGGACTCAATAGTTCAATTTATATGATTTTTAAAATTATGTGCATTTGAATTAAGAGATTCATTTTGGATCTCTTAATTCAAACACAAGAATCGACAAAATATCATAAGTAATTTTTTATTCAGTCAAATAATCTTAAACTTTATGTTGACTAACTTTACAAACAAACATATACTGTATTCAGTATGTAAATCTTGTCTTTCCATCTTTTAAGTATGTAAAATATGTTTGACAACCAATGTATTCAATGTAAATTTTGTCTGTCTATCTTTTAAGTATATGTTATGCTACTTAGCTACTACTTTACTAGTTCAAATAATAAAGTATACCTAAAAACAAAAGTTTTTACTAAACAACAAAGTTTTTTTTATGTGCTCAATAAATGCTATAGTGCATTTACAAACAAACAGTAAATAGCATACTATATATCTAAATACCTAAAACTTACATATCATATCTAAATACCTAAAACTTACATATCATATCTAAATACCTAAAACTTACATATCATATCTAAATACCTTAAACTTACATATCATATCTAAATACCTAAAATTTACATATCATATATCTAAATACCTAAAACTTACATACCATATATCTAAATACCGAAAACTTACATACCATATATCTAAATACCTAAAACTTACATACCATATATCTAAATACCTAAAACTTACATACCATATATCTAAATACCAAAAACTTACATACCATATATCTAAATACCTAGAACAACAAAAGTAAATTAGAGAAAAAAATAGATAAAAAGGACAAACTTTAATTGTTGTCATTCCCAAAGATTGTGCAGCTTTTAGATTTTTTTCCACATTATCAACATACACAACATCAGTAGAATCAACTTTTAGTTGATCCAGAATAGCAGGTTTTAAAGCTGGAGAGGTCTAAAAACAAATAAAAATGATCTAATATTTTATTATTAAATATAACATGAAAATATTTTAAAAAATTGAAAACCTAAATTGTGTAAATAACATTTTAAAATAATATTTAGTATTATTAAACAGGTAATATGCCCAATGTTAAAAAAAAAGAAACTCTGTATATCAAAATTTCATCTCTAAATATGACTTTAATTTTAAATTGCATCAACTGTTTGATCATAAAACTAAAAAACCGATGAAGCATATAACAAATAATAGAAATTCAACTTTAGTGAATGTTTACTTTTTTTACAACTTTAGTGAATGTTTTATTGAAACATTTACTAGTTGAAAAATATAATGCTGTCTCTGACATTCTTATAAAAAACTAGAACTGAAAAGTAGAACCTGTTTTTCTTTTAGGAAGTTTGTATTAAATGCGTATCAAATACCGGATGCAGTCAGCCACTATAGCAGCATCCCACTACTCTACTGGTATCTTTGTAGACTTTTAAGACTTGTAGTCTTTATTTTGATGAATATAACAAGCTACTTGAATCAAAGAAAATTGATTTCTGATATGGAACAATACTGCCTACAGGTTTTTTTTGAGGTGTCAATTAACAGCTTCCACTCTTAAAGATTGTGAACAATGTTAATGTCATTGAAAGGATTGAACACATCATGACTCCGGCACAGTGATTCTGATAATACATAAAAGAATGCAAATGTTTCATATCTTTTTTGATAGTTTGAGGTTCAACAACTTAGATCTAATACATTTCATTCTCTTAAACATGTCACAAGTTTTGAATTTGATTTAGTGAGTCCTAAATCTTTTACCAAGTCATCAAGTTTTTGTTGGTTAGGATTTCATTCAAGATTTTTTTCAGCAATATAATTGACAAGCATTGCAATAACAACATCAAATTAAAACCAAAAGAATTTAAAGATCTATTTTTAGTAGATAATATCAACACAATTATAACACATACAATTATTAACAACATTAGGTTTGATGTCAACATAAACAGATTAAATAACTATATCAACTTCTACATTAGCGGAAAAATTAGAAAAAAAGTCTAAACATTATTTAAAATTTAGAATAAAAGAATAGAATTAAAAAAAAAAGAAAAAAGATAGATTTCATCACTAATTTTTGTTATAGTTATACTGTTTAAATGACTTTTGACATGGTGAAAACTAAATTTAATTACAATGCTGTACTTTAAAATATGCTAATTTAACTTTTAAGAATGTTTTGAATATCAAAGCTGAGTTAAGTTACATTTATCAGTGTCAAGCATTTTGATTACGCAATAAAATCTTGTAACACACGCACACAGATATATAAAATATTAAAATAATTTTTTAATTAAAAAATTATTGTAATATTTTACAAGCTGATGATGCTGGTATCCATAACCCAGCAAAAATTTCTTACAAAATAAAATTAATAGTATTGAGAGAAACTGTATTTCTTGATGTTTTAAAATAATATATAATATACTCTCATACAAGATGTCATCTTTCAAATATATATATATATATATATATATATATATATATATATATATATATATATATATATATATATATATATATATATACAGGGCACAACAATTTTTTTTTTAATGAACATTGACGCTCTTATCTTTATTATTGACGAATGTCTAATTTAAGAGATATATGTCAAAAAAGGGAGTTTTATTTTTAAGTTATTTTTTTTCTAGTTTATTAGTTATTAGATATATCAAAGATGCTTATTAATTTAATCAACTTTTTAGTTTTCAAAACAATTATTCACGCATTTGCAAAGTGCGCACAAATTAATGATAATTTATATGCAATGACCAAATAATTGTAAACTATTATATATTGATTCAAAATAATGAATTTTTCATAATTTAGTTCGTTATAATTACTTACTAAGAAAAAAACGCATAAACTTAAAAAAATTAAAATAAAAGGAAATCAAAATAAAATAAAAGTTTTGACATTTATTTTTTAAAAGCTTGAAGAATTTCATATTAAATATTTAATAATAAGTTAATAAAAATACCATATTATAGCGGTATAGGCTTTCAAAAAAATGGCGTACATTAAATAAGTCCCCTAAAATATTCATTATTTGTTATTTTTCTTTTGCATTTTTTATAAAAGAAAAAAAAAAAAAAAAAAAAAAAAATTCAGTTTTAAATGCTGTTGTAACTAATTTTTTTTAAAATTATTTTCTTCATGACAATAAAATGGATTTTCAAAAAATGTGCCGTAACTTGTTTAACATTTAAAAAAATCCATAGTAAACTTATTTAATGTACGTTATTTTTTTTATAATACTCAATAATTTAAAAAACATAGTTTTTAATAGTTTTTAAATTCATGTCTTCAAGAAGCTATTTCAAATCAACTCCTTATATTTGGGTAAAACAAGATGAAACCAAAACAAGTGATATTTAAAAATCATAGTTGTGGCACCAACAACGACAAGGAGGGGAATGGTGGAAAAAAGCTATATAAAGAACACCACTTACTGACCCAAGTTGCCAAATAAAAATGTCTCTAAACAAACAAATCCGTTGAGTATAAAATTAAGTTGAGAGCTATCAACTTTGCTAGCAAAGCAAGCACTCTAACACTATCACAATTGCTCAGTGATTGGAAAGTTCCTTTTTGAACGGATCTCGTTCTGTTCCCCGTTTATTTTGTAAAATAAGAACTAGTTCCAGTTCCTTGTTTTTTAGTCAAAAAAGGAACTTGCTCCATGTTTCTTAAAAAAGAGAACTCTTTCAAATTTAGTTCCTTTTTTAATACATATTTTTTATTTTGAAAATTGTAATAGTAATTTATTGTTTTGGTTGGCAAGCAATGCATTTTTAAGACGTTTTATTTAGTTTTATTTATTTTAAATAGCTTTTAAACATTTCTGGTATCCTACCGGATATAGAGCATATAGCAACTAGATCAGCTTATCTAAACAGGTAACCTGGTTATCTTGGATAACCTGTTTACTATATATAAAAAGGTAATTTGGTTATATAAATAAATTTAGTTTATTAAAATGATAACTTTGTTAGTTTAAAAAACAGGTAACTTAATTAATTTAGCTAAACAAGTGATTAAGTTAGTCTACCTATACTGGAAAACTGATTAGTTTAAAGCCCAAAAAACCTAGTTAATATATTTTAAAAACATATTAATAAGGTTGTAAGTTTACACCAATATAATTTTTATCAAAAAAAAAACTTACCACATCAAACAACTCTGTGTCAATAGGAATGTATGCAGGATTAAGGTCTCCTGCATCTAAAATAAGTCCTGTTTTGATACCTTCAGCACGTATACCTTGAATAGCAGATACTAGCTCAGCCAAAGCCACATGAAAACTTCCATGACGAGAGAGAAGAGCTGGTTCAATTTTCTTCAAAAGTGCTGAATTTCAAATAAAAACAATTATTTTTGCTCAGTTAACAAAGTTAAAAACTTAATGACAAATATTTCCATTTGAAAATAACCACTGTAGTTTATTTTATACGTACATTTATCTCCCTCCTTGAAAAGCTTTGCCATCATTTCTGATTCTGACATGTTATGATCACGAGCAAATTTCTTTACTACATGACTTAGAGCTGGAACAACTGATCCACGCAAATTAAAAACTACAGCCTTTTTAGTTGAAATATACCTTTCTGCTTGAATAGAAGTTTGAGCAAACGCTTTTGCACTAACACTTTTTAAAATTGACGATCTTTGCAAAGCGCGGAACATGTTAAAGCTGAATTTAGTTAAAACATAATTTCATTAACTACAAATTATTAAATTTATTAAAATGAGCAAACTAAAAAACTCCTAACAAACACAGAGCTAATAGGTTTACATTTTTCCAGAACCCCTCAATAGTTTTCTGTGTATTTAAAAAGATATATACCGGTTAGATGGGGCGGATCACTACAACTAATATAAATTTAAATTAAACTATATATGATTTTTGCATTTCTAAAATAATAAAAAGATTACAATAATAACAATTATAGTAAAATAAATCTGTCAAAGTATAAAAAAACGTCACAAAGTTAATGAAAGTGTAATGGGTTTATCTAGATCTTTACCAACTTTTAAGTTCATGTAAGGCTAACACACTAAATGTAAATCGATGATAAACTTCTTAATCAAGCAAAAGTGACATCGAGACAAAAATATATTCTAAAATTTAAGTTTGAGGGGCGATGAAATGGGTAGAAATTGAACCGAACAAATGAACCGAATTTTTAACATTCTGAAATCAGATTAGGTAAAGTGCTATTCGTATTTCTAAGATCTCATAGATTCTCAATGAAAGGTTAAAACATCCCATATACAAGGTTTGTGCGTAAACCGGGGTAAACAATGATAATTATTCTAGAAAGATTTGTTCTCATAATGAAAATATTAGACCCAAAAATAGATCTTTTATCCTTTTACAATTTTGTACTCAACTCAAACATCTTTACGTTAAGTACAATATTTAAAAAAACAGATTCCAATGTCAACCTAATGTCTGAAACGAAAATTGACGAGAAATGATAATATCGACGTGTTGTATATCCAGTCTCGAAGTGAGATGGGACGCGGCGGGATGCCATCCCGTCACCTTTTTAAAATATAAACCATATAAACCTTTTTAAAATGCAAACCACCTTTTTAAAGTATAAACCATACCGCCACCTTTTTATAAATCTCTATATATAACAATGATAGACGGGATGGTATTTTTAATTTACCGAAAACCATCCCGTTACTTTTTTTTCTCCACTTCGAGCACTGTGTATATCTGATTGCAGGGCCAACGACACTGAGGGACACCCTCAACTTTTTTTCTTAAGAATTTTTTTTATATATATATATATAGAAAAATCTAAACTTATTTTCAAAAATTAATGATTGTACCCCTCCACTTCAAAACTCGTGTCGTCGGCTATGTTTGGATTTGGTATTACTGCATTAACATGTTAATGCAGTAATATGCATTAACATGCATATTACTGCATTAACATGCATTATACTATAAGGATGCATAGAACCAACGGATGATTTTTTCAGTTTACTCCATCGTTTTAAATTAATACTCAACTATCTGTTTGATATATTAGACACAGACACCTAAAAATTGCTAAAATATTCTGGTAAAGATGAGTGACTTATTCACTAAGAACACTTAAAAGGCCAACAAATATTTTCTCATGTAGGCTTAATGGCTCGAGTAGAAAAAATTCTAGCTGCAAAAAAGCAACAACGTTACACCAAAATGTAGCATTGCGAAAGACAAAGAAAAAATAGGAATTAATTTACTTTAAGAAGCCGCAACTCAAAAATCTTGAATTTTATCCAACTATTATTGATGATAATGAAATCAATAAAGGGTGTCAAATTTTTATTAGATGTTACTGAATAAATAAAAAAACACTTTTTCGTGAAAAAACAACAACAAATTGTTGATGTAAATTCACTTTAACGTGTACAGATGCAGCGCAAATAGGTGTCACGCAAAGGGAGAGGGGGGTCGATTGCCATAACAATTTTTGTTGACTAAAAAAAAAATCCTCGTTTTCTGATATTTGTGGACCAACTGGTCTACATTTGCTGACTATCTATCTAAATTTGCCGACTGACTTGTCTAAAGGGTCGACATTTGCCGGCTGACTTATCTAAAAGGATCATATTTGCCAACTAAATGAACAAATAATTAGTTAATGGAAGAGAGGGTGTCACACCTCACGCACACCTCTTTGCGCCGGCCTTATACAAATGCCGATTGATCTGGCATTAGTCAAAGACAGCAGGTACATATTTTAGAAAACTTTAGTGGTTGGTGGAGCAACTTTAAATAGTATTACATTTTCTAAAATATCAGTTGTGCAATGATGAAGCTAGTTAATTAAAACCATCTGTTATTTTATTAGTTTATAATACATCAGCTGCAAATATTGGAATCGATAACGGAACTGTAATTCTAATTGAGTAAATTTGTCGTTTTATACTCTTACTTACTCGCAGATGTTACATACAAGAGTTCTTCTTTAAAAAAAAACACGCTATTTTTGGGCCTAGTAAATCATCAAAAGTTTAGGTTTTGAAGGGTTCAAGGAAGAATTTCATAACCTTAAAAGATCTTAAAGAATGCGCCTAGTTTCATGATCAAAAAATATTTTTTTATTTCAACAAGAACTTGAAGTAAATAAAAAATCTTTTCGTAAATTGTTGAAATTCATCAAAACAGTCATAACAACCCTGAACAAACCCAAACCCACAACACAGCGGCCTTTAACTTACATTTTATTGAGTCTTGAAGTTAAACTTAACCCCGAAATTAAATCAGTTTTTTATATCTTGTCATAATTCTACTTTTAACCGGCCATAAACTTCCAAACACAATTTTTCAACAGACTTTACTGTACCTAACGAAACTTAGTAAAAACAATTCTTATAGTAAATAAATTTATTTATTTACTATAAGAATTGTTTTTTGAAAACTAAAAAGTTTTTGATCACAAAAGGATTTAACACGAAATTTTAGTGAGACAACTTTTTTTTTTTACATCTTATATGTTTTGAGCAACATTAAACTTCCGAATACCGAATACATAATTGTTATAATAACAATATATTATTTTTTCAAAATAAGTAAAAAATTTAGATTCTTTGCCTATATTTTGAACGATTTTAAATTGCTACCAATGTTTACCTTTTTTCAACTTATTATTATTTATTGTTTTACTTATTTCGACTTTATTATAGTCTTAGACTTTATACTTCGGTTCAAGTTTTTTTCACATCAATTTGACTTCAACTTGGTTTTCCCGTAATATAGTTTGGGACGCCGATTTAGTGTTTTTGTTATTGTGTTTCATTAAAATGGAAGTCATCGTGGGTACTTACAACCATGTGCTTTTTGGATTTAAGTTTGTTCTAAACGAAGAAAGTGATCATGTATATTTTTATTTATGTTTTGAATTATATCTGTTTTTTTATTTATTTTGAATTGTTTAAAGTTTAATGTTTCTTGGCTTTTGTATAGATTTATTGATGAACAAAACAATTTTAATAATTGTCTTGATAATATTATAATATTAACACTTAAAATTAAAACTGATGCCATTATATTGATTTTATTTAAAGATTACACTGATAAAACACAAATATTGTTCTTTAAAAATAAAATTACTGTTTCAATTTTGTTATAAAGAATTAAGACTCATAAAATATTAAGAATTGTAGGAATTTCACTAGTTGAAAGAATAAACCATTCACTGGACTGCTGAGAGAGATGGGCAAAAGGGGTATACATGCGCCGGCGCCAAGATATAAGGGGCGCCAGAAAACAAAAGACAAAAAAAAAAATCATAAGGAGAAAAAGTAAAAAAAGAATACTTTTATTGATTAGACATAAAATAAATTTGCTTGATGATTGGCATAGCAATTAACTTACTTTGTTTATATTACCAAAGAACTACAGTTTTAAAGAGTTCATTTCTTTAATAAGTTATAAAAAAATAAATTAAAAAAAATAAATATAAAAAAAGAGTTTATTTCTTAAATAAATTATGAAAAAATAAATTATTTAAAACTATAAAATAACCATCAGGTCTTGTCACAGAAAACCGTTTTGATCTGTTTACAATTTCTTGTCAAACTCAGCTTTTAATAAAAAAAAGACATATTTAAGACCTCAATCAATCAGATATTACCAGATTGTTCGCACTTTTTAAAAAACTGTGTTGCCAATAATTGGAATAAATGAGCACATGATATAAATGATGTACCTACAGTAAACTCTTTTGTAAGTATATTTATGATGTAACTTCGGTTGCATATAAAAAACTTGGACTGTTAAGCTAAAATGTCAATACTGGCATCAGTTTTAGTGTTACCAGCATCACTGGTTTTGCATGTCTCTGACAGTTCCACAGTTTCTTTTCCAAAATCAAACTGTTTGTTTTGTATCACTGAAATATCTTTTGCGAATTGCTGAACTTCAATGTAGTGAAATAATTGTGTCTGAGGCAAGGACTCGCAATTTTTCTATCTGGCTTCTAGCATCTCCTTTTCACATTCTATTTCATCTGGAGAGACGAGCACCAGTTGCAAGCTTGATGCAGCAGCCTGGGCACATTTATAAAATGAGTTGGCATTTGTAACTATTGTTTTCTCTGCTAGTATTTTACTGTTCCTCTATCCCCATCAACTGCCCCTTTTTCATGGTTGGTGGCAAAAAAATTCCAGACAAAGTTTTTCAACATGTACTCCTCATTCAAAAAGGCAAGATTTATAAACTTATGTTTGAACTGGGAAACTGCACTGTCTGTAAAGAAGTT